TCCCTTGGTCATGCGGCAGCTGTAGGAAGCCGATTTTTACGAGACGGCTGTGAAGATGCTGCTGCCAGAGCCGCGGGGCTTGCTTGATCCCGTATAGGGATTTTGTCAGTCGGCATATTTTCGTGGGGTCGTCGATGAATCCGTGGGGTTGTTCGACGAAGATCTCAGCGTCCACAGGTGCGTATAGGAAAGCATTCGCGACATCGATTTGGCGTAGTGGTAGTGTTTTTGTGGCCGCGACGGCGAGTAGGATGCGTAATGAGGTGTGACGGGAGACTGGGGCGAAGGTTTCTGTGTAGTCGGTTCCGTATCGTTGATCGAAGCCTCGTACGACCCATCGAGCTTTGAATCGTTCGATGGAGCCGTCTGAGTTGGTCTTGATGCGGTACACCCATTTCCCCGAGAGAACGTTCTTCCCGTTGATGCTCGTTGCAGGTACCAGTTTCCATGTTTCTCGGTCTTGCAGAGCTTTTAACTCCTTTTCCATCGCTTCTTTCCATTTTGCCTTATGTTCCCCCCCCAGAGCCTGCGACAAGGTTGAAGGCTCACGCGTAGAAGGCGGCGGCGGATGCTGGACGGAGACCCAGAGGCCTAGAATCTGGAGTCCCGTGGGTGTGTGTCGAGGGGAATTGTCATTCCCGGAATAAGCTGCTTCGTCACCGTCTTCGGGGTCAGGTAAGAAATTGGGGCCGATGCGTTCCGAAATATTCGTGTCGACGGGGTGAGGTGTAGCGTAACCTTGGTCGGCGAAGTGGTAAAAGGTGTCGAGGTTGTTGCTATCGAGGGGATTATCTTCATCGAGTGGAACAGGTACGGAACAGAATGGGAGTGGCCCGGCAGCTTCCGAGGCTCCAGGTACGTCTTCTTCTGCTGCGTCAGCTTCGGCAGCACGATCGGCGAAGGAACGAAGTCCCGAGAGGCCGTCGGTGGGGTCTTGTGTGTTGGCAAGGTTGTCCAGGTAATGCTGCAGAGTCAGTCGTTCGTAGAAGATAACGTCTCGTGATGCCACCGTGTTTTTGTCTTGTATGTCGAGAATTTTCCACGCGTGAAAATGTTTCGCGATGCCGAGGTGGAGTCCCCACCGAGCTCGTTGTGTGAAGCGTCCTGCTCGGGCTGTGTGGGGTCTGTACTGTACCATGCAGCCAAAGACTCTGAGTAATTTTGTGCTGCCCCTTTTTCTTGTCCACAACAGGTGCGGTGATGCGTTGTTGGGAAGTGATGACGAGGACAGCAGGTTGTGCAGGTGAACAGCATGTGTCATCGCGTCTGGCCACAGTGTGGTTGGCAGTCGCATCCCCTGAAGCAGTTTTCGCATCGTCGTCTGCAAGGTCCGATTCATGCGTTCTGCTACCCCCTGCTGTTGGTGAGCATAGGGCAGGGACACCAGGCGTCTGATTCCCCTTTCCGCCAGATAGGTCCTGAAGCGTTGTGACTGGTATTCCAGTGCACCGTCTGACTGGAAGCTCTTGAGTTTGAGTCCTGATTCTCGTTCGGCGATGGGGAGCCATGTTGTGAAGGCTTCGAAGGCTTGGTCGCGCGTTTTGAGATTGAAGTGCCAGACATATCTGGTTGCGGCGTCGATGAAAGTGATGACGTAGTTAAAGTCGGCTTCGGCGTCGTCTCGAGGCATGTTTAAAATATCGCTGTAGACTTTTTCCATCGGAGCGTAAGTAGGTGCGCTTGGGTTGAGATAGGATGTAAAAGGTTGATGAGGAAGATCTGCTTCGGGGCATGTGAAGCACCGTGCGCGTGGTCGTCGAAGTTCTTGACCGCTCGTCGTCAGAAGGGCGTTGCGTTCTAACACCTCTGCTTGGATTGTTTGAAGTATTGTGCTGTTTGCAGGGTGTCCGAGGTGTGGTGCCAGATGTCGTCGGGAGCACGGTGACCGGGCGAGCGGTGGTAGATGTCGGCGTTGGAGAAGAACGCGACGACTGAGGCGGGACTTCGACAAGCTTCTCGTGTGGCGGGCATAAGTTGGTCTGCTTCCGTTGGCGGTCCTCGTGTTGATGGTGGTGGTACTCGGCTGGGTCCTGCTGCCGATGCTGCAGGTGATGGTTTTGTTGGGACACTTGCGGGTACTTGTCTTTCTTGTCTGATAACTGCTAATGCTCGTGTTCTCTCTGCTGCAGGTATGGTGTTGGAGTGCCAGAAGCCGTCACTGTCGAAGTCGGGATCAAGATCCGGCGGGTGAGTCCAGGCGGCGAACGATACGATGCCATCGCTGTCGGCAGTTCCGCGGTCGGGGACGAAGTCCAACACGAAGACACCGGACTTCAGGAGGGCACGACCGATGAAGAGGCCGCCCTTCCCGTGGTAAAGCCGGAACTCGTTGGAGTAAGAGTCGCACTCCAGGTGAATCCCTTTGGCCATTAGTTGGCTTACGCTTAGTAGATTGTATCCCAGGTTGTCGACAATGAGCACTTTGTTGAGCTGCAGTATTACGTTTGTTTCCATGGATTGTAACTGAACCACGCCTTGTCTGTTTGTCTTCAGGTTTTCGTTGTTGGCGACTGTGATGACGACGTCGCGGTTGAGTCGTTTCTCCTGTTGCACAAAGCGTCCCGAGGAGCACATGTGTTGACCGCAGCAGCTGTCCAAGAACCAGGTGTTTCGCCCGGTGGGTTCGGCGTTGGCGACTGCAGCGTATGTCGGGTTGACCTGAAGTCCTTGCGAGCGCGGCGGCGAGAATTCCTCTTCGTCTGGTGCGTAAGTGGGTGGTGAACCGGGTGCGCAGTTGTCGATGTGTACCATGCAGTTGATGATGTTGGGTGTTTGTTGTGCAGATGTTGAAGAGCGCCTTGGAGGACTTGCTTGAGTGGAAGTGACTTGTGGGTCTGCTGCACGGTAAACGCGAGGGCGGTTGCAGTTGACTTTGGAGTGCCCGGAAGTCTGGCAGTTGTGGCAGAACGGCGGTATGATGGTGAGTCCTCGGTTGTCGCGTTGATTTTGCTTGCTGCGTCGGTTGTAGTTGTTGTCATTTCTTCTTTGAGTGTAGAAGACTAACTGCTGTTGCTTCCTTGGTTGTCTTTCTTCGAACAGATCCATCTCCTGTTGTTCAGCGTGAAGCTTGGCGCAGAGGTGCATCTCCGAAATTCTTCCGTGGGCTCGAAGAAGTGATCGTGTGGTTCTCCATTCTGGCCCGAGCCCGGCGAGGACAAGGGTCACGAAGCTTTCTTCAGTGATCGTTCCTCCGCACCGAAGCAGGCGGTCGCGGAGGGTCTGGCAGCGACTCATATACTGCATCGCCTTTTCCCCGGTCTTCATCTGTATTGTTGTCAGTTGTTGCATGAGTCTGCTTTGTGTCACGCTGTCGTTTGCTTGATAGAGGCACTTGAGATGATGCCATGCGAGTTCCGCGGAGTTTCCATAACTTCGATACGTTCTGATGCTCTGCTGCTCTTGTGGTGACAGGTTTCTCAGGAGTACCGTATACGCCAGCAGCGACTGATACGTGAAGATTTCTTGTTCCTTCCCAGTGCCGTTGCTTGGGAATGGCAGGGACCCGTTGAAGTATCCCAGAAGATGCGCGGCCTCCATCAGCAGCTCGAACTCGAAGCTCCAGGTAAAGAAGTCGTGTCCGTTGAACGGTGAGGATGTCTGAAGTTTAATTACGTGTGAGAACTGTGCCTGAAGACTTAAGATTTCGTTCGGTGTTTGTTGTGATGCAGCTGCTGTTGGCTGGGCACGGGGCGGCATGAACTCGAACGTCCCCGGTGAAGAGTGATAAGGCGCAAAAGTAGGTGCTTGATTGTGTCGCCCGAAGGATGAGTTGTCGAGGCTCATCGGCGCTAATCCCATATTCCCTCCATTGCTCTGTGTTGAGTGCGCAGGTGTCCTTGTCTGCTGCTGCTGGTCGAAGTGTGACATGAAGCTGAAGAATCTCTCCATGAGATTCGGGTCCACACTTGAAGAGGGAGACGGAGTCACCATCTCCGGTGCTCTTCCCGTTGTTTCTTGAGCAGTCCCGGTCTCTGTCTGCAGTCCTGAGGTGTGCAGACCAGAGTTGCCGTGTTGAGTTTCTTGGGCGCTGGGTGAGCCCGTAGAGACTTTCTTGCCCTTGCTGTCCATGTCTTGTAATCAATGAAGTCGTTGAATTGAGTTGAGTTGCAGGTCGTTGATGGAGCGTAGTTGCTGGGAGTTTGGTCTCTGACCAGCTCTCATACCATGTTGGGCTGAGAAAAGCCCTTAGGATCTTTTGCAGAGACTAAGTCCCAGCTAGTAGAGACTTGGAGTAGTGCAGCGGAAGTTGAGGCAGTTGAACCCTTGTACTAGTATGTGAGAACAAGTGATTGATTAAAGAAACAAGCATACAGCAATATATAGAAGATAAGAAAGCAGTTGCAGAGTACAGTTACAGGAACGGTTTATCGAGTCGCATAGCGACTCGATTGCCGCTTCGGTTACCATCCGTGATGCTGTAACGGTCAGTCGCAACCTCCAGTTGCGACCTTTCGGGTCTTTTCGCATTCTTTGTCCGCCCCCTCGTGTAACCTCCGTTGACTCGCGTGCTCCCCTGTAGTCTTCCTCGAGTGTAGTGTTACACTTCAGAAACGCTTAAGTTCTTTGAGATATTTCCAACAACCGCTAACCTAAAAACCCAAATCACTTGAATTCCCCAGTCAAAAAACGCCTGTCTTTCCTCGTCGCAAGCTGCTCGCCCAAAACCGTCGTAGAAACTCCGTGCGATGCACACAGTGTTTTTACGCAATTCGCATCTAAATGATCGTGTCGCAACAAACAGCAAAACGAGTTCTTTCGCCGTTCCTCCAATCAGCAAGCTTGAACCCAAAGCTGCCTTCCATTCTATACTTCGACAGATTTCAAAACACCAGATTCAAGTGGTTTCCAGGTCTGCTATTTTAGCCGCGGGCTTTAATATTTTCTATTCTGAGATAAACTACCTAGATACCATATGTGTATGCTGTACTATATGTTTGTTTGACAGTACCGTACATCCCCATCATACCCTCGTACACGCTAAGAGTAGTGGAAAATTAGACTAAAGTCTGGCAGCATGAGAAGCTCAAAGAATTGTGGTGGTGCATCCTTCTCCGTACTGGAGGGTCAACCTCCCGAGGCAAAAGATGTCAGCAGATGTGATGTTTGGGCCACAAGCCTAGAAATGAGTCAATGTCAATCAAGTGCAACAGGCAGTTTTCCTGGTCCACCTAAGAAATCAATCATTATGTCATAACATTGTGGAAAATGACTGCTCCTTAGACTTCAAAAACAAAATAAACAACGAACCTGCATAGTTCCACCTGCTGTAGCTTCCCCTGTACCAGTGCCTTCTTTCCCACTTCTCCTCGCCATCACTGCTTCCTCTCACCTGGTCCACAGCATCCCTCACTTACTAGCATACTCCCGCCTCCCTCCCCCACCTCTTTCGCCTGCCTCCTAGCATACTATGAGTCCCCATCTTCTCACCCTCCCGCTGCCTCTTCCTGGACCTAAACCCCAGCCCGCCCTCTTGCACAGCCTTCCTACCCTCCCCAGCTAGAGTCTGCACCACATCCACATCCACATCATCCTCCCATTGCTCATCACTCTCGACTGTGCTCGACTCCTTGAGTGCAACAGATTGTTTTGGTGCATCATGCTCCTTCACTATCATTTCTGCCTCCACCCTCTTCTTCGTCTGCTGCTGCTGCTGGCGGCTCTTTGCTGCTGTCCTCGTCACCACCATCCCCACCTCCACCACATCATCCTCCTCCTCCTCCTCGTCCTCGTTCTCGACCTCCTCCCTCCCCACCTCACGCACTTCTTGCTCCTCCGCTTGCTCCCTGTCCTCCCCAGCATCATCATCTGAGAGAACACTCACTTCCATCACCATCATTTCCTCTTCCTCTTCCTCCTCTTCTCCCTCGTTCCCACTCTCCTCTCCCTCTCCGAACTGCTCTTCCTCCTCCTCCCCCTCACATCTCTCTGATCCCTCCTCCCCCTCCCCCCCCTCCTCCACCTCCTCGTTGTCTTTTCTCTCAACCACCACTCCACCCACATCCCCGCACTTGTCTCCCTCTCCCTCACAAACCCATCCTGATCCTCTCCTCCTCCTCCCCACTGCACGACGTCCCCTCCCACATGTCCCCCTACCACGCAACCCCCCCGCGTATCTCCTTCCTGCACTCCTCACCCCCTCCGCGCACCACTCCCCGCTGCCTCCCCTCCTCCTTGCCCCCAGTCCCTGCATCAGCGCCTCTGGCAGCTGAAAGTGCGTGGGAGACCCACTCAGCCTGTGGGCCGCACGGACCAGAGGGTCATCTAGCGTCCCATCCGGCTCGTGCCTTATCCCGCTCCCACTCCCACTGGGACTGACAGCGCTGCTGCCTGCACTTACCACAGCAGCAGTGCCTCCTGCAGTGCCCTCAGCACTGCTGCCAGCTGTGCAAGACCCACATGGCTCATCCGCCCTCAGCTGCTGTCGCTCTCCCCCCGCCGTGCATGCGCCTTTTTCCCTCGTATGCCCAAGAGGTTCACCGCTCACTGCGTCGCCCATCGCCCCTTGTCGGCTCTCCCTTTCCCCAACCACTGCTGCATGCCCCTCCTTCCCCCATTCTCCACTGCCCACTGCTGCCGCTTTCCCTCTCCGGCCATCCTCACCCCCCCATACTGGCACCTCCACCACATCATCATCCTCCCCTCCGTCTCCCGCCCCACTTGCCCCTGCCCCACTGCGCCTTCCCTCGCCCATGCCCATGCTTGCCGGTTCGCCGCCCACCTGGATCCGCAAGTCTGCTTTCCGGTATTTCTCAGAGAGCAACTGCTGTGGTCGGAAGAACCTATGTGCAACCTTCACCCTCTTGCTTCTCGCATGCTTCACAGGGTGTGGCTGATCCTCCTCCGCGCCCCCGCACGGCCTCCTTGCCTCTCCATGCGCCGCTTGCTGCAGCACGGCCACGTGCCTGAGCTCCCCGACAGTGCACCCTTGTTCACCCTCATGCCTCCGCTTTCTCCTCCCAACAAGCACCATTATCTCCCTCTCCTCCTCCTCGTCCGCCCCCCTTGCCGCTGCCCCTTCCAGTATGCTTCTCCGCCTCTCCTCTCTCCTCCCCACCGGCATCTCCTCTTTCCTCCTCACCCTCCTCTCCTCTCCCTCCTCCGCCACCCACACAGCTCCAAACTCACACCATACCACATCCCCCGCTTCCCCTTCCACCAATCCCCCCCCCCACTCCCCCTCGTGCCCTGCCCTGCCCCCTCTGTCTCCCCCCTCCAGCGCCGTCCACGCATCACGTAGCACCGCCGTACCTTCCGCACCTTGCGCATCTGATTCCCTCCCATGCGCTCCACCCGCATCTTCCGCAAGCGGCAGCTGCGCAGTGGAGGCGCAGGGCGCGCGGAGGACAGGCGGAGGGGAAGAGGGAGACGAGGAGGGAGCAATTACTGTGCTGTTGCTGCTGCTGCTGCTCCTGCTACTGCTGCCGCGCCCTGCTTCATCGCCTGACGCTGCAACAGCGTTTGAAGCGCTCACACCCGTCGCAGCCATCGCAGCCGTCGCAGCTGTCGCGGCCATCGCGACCGTCGCAGCCGTCGCATTTGTCGCCGTCAAGTTAGAGGATTGCGACGAGGAAGTGCGGGCCTTGACCGCCTTCGCTTGCTCGCACTCCATAGCACAATCCTCGCCCGGCGCACACACCGCTTCGCAAGCACTCGCGCGGCCTGCTTCTTCGCGCTCATCGGGCGCGCTTGGAGTGACCCGTCCATCCCCTAGCGCGATCTCTTCCATAAGACGAATCGCGCTGGCCGGAATTTGAGCACCGACTCGCGCCTCATCCCGTGACGCTTGGCTGGATTCAACGGCGCTATCATCAACCCGTGGCGCCGCCTTCGCATAGTGGTCGCGACTGTCTTCCGCTACATCCTTTCTCTGCCCGATTCCGCCTGCCGTTGTTCCGCGATCTCCGCGTGGAAGAAAGGGGTCAGCATACTCGCGCGGAACACTGGCTCCCCCATCGTGCGCGGAATTATCCTCCGCCGCCGCGTCTCCCCACCGCCCGTGGCACAGCCCTGCGCTTACCCAGTCTCCGCAGGAAAAGGCCGCCCGCTGCCGCTGCCTGCGCGCACGAATGCTGAACGACAAGGGAGGGCCGGTCGGGTGGTGAGATTCGTGCGGAAATCCCGGACGGGACCCTGAGGAGTTGGAGGGAGCGGTAGGGTTGTGGTGAAGGGAGGATTTCGGGCCAAATCCGGAACATGCAGAAGTGGTACCGGCCGAAGCCCAGATGAACACGTCGACGATCGGAGATGGATCTTTAGTTGCCATAGTTTCCTGCCATCCCTGTGGCTCCGACCGAAAGTTCAAGCACGCAGAGTAATCGTGAGTGTAGCGTAGGAGGGTTGCAAAGCATTAGGTAGAGATTGAAAGTCGAATCTGCGGACTACTAGAGCAAGCTGCACTGCCACTCGAGGTGTAGGCCCAGCGGCGCAGTTGAGATGGGAAGTGGCTGCAAGTCTGTCAGCCAGGAGCAGGAGGCGGGGGGGTTTGTGGCGGGAGACGAGGGGAGGGAAGCAGAGGAAGGTTGGGGTGGACCACTCGTGGGTCCCAAATTCTGATCTTGTTTTGCTTTCCCCACGAAATTCTCGAGGGGCCCAGCGAACCGCACAGCCACAGCCATCCATTCAAGCCGTTCAAGTTCAAGCCGTTCGATCTGAACATACAGCGCTGTTCGGCACTGTCGAGGCCACTGGTTCCAACACACGGCAGCTGCTTCCTCCCTCCCACAAGGGATCAGATGAGTCCCTGAAGTAGGTGGCAGACTCTAACTGGCGCATGAATCCGAACCTTTGAAACCCGAGGTTCTGCCAGACTTGGTTCCAAGCAGACTCGAGCCAAGCAGGAGATGGCGTCAGCTTCGAGGCGCAACGCGATCGTTTCACACCGCGTTGTCGAGGCTCGGAAACTTTATATTTCACTGCTCCTATCGGTCCGCCCCGCAACCTCAAATTCATCCACCAACTCGTCCCTCTGCATTCATGAACGTTGGCATTTCTAGAGCTTTGACATGAAGTGCCTAGTGTAGTATGGTAAGGAAATAGCATTTCCTTATCCCTGGTTATAATGGGGTTGCCTGCCACGCACCTCTTCCACGAAATTCAAACCGCATCACCAAAATGTGGCCCTCTGACGAGCCCCATGTATCTCGTTCGATTGAAAGTTTCATTCCTGGACATGCATGCTCCAAGTCAATTTGCATCCACACGTCTCAGCTTTGCCGAGCCTCGACAGTGTGCTCCAGACCTAAATCTATTATAGCTCTCGATTGTTTTTATGTTTCCTTGTTGTATTGTTTTCCTCGCCACTATCGATATTCGACACTCGCTGTTTGCGCCTCATAACAGCTGGACAACTGAGCTAACGATCCCCAACATAGCGTTTCTCTCTTGCACATCGTTGTTTAGGGAGGCAAACGCCCTATGCTTACCGCATATCCGCTGCCCTAGAATTTTAAATCAACAAATACCTGCAGTCACGACCGAGTTTGCAGTGTACCAATGCGCTGACACCACCCAAACAAAAAGCAATGATGGACCCTTCGTCATTGACACTCGGTACTGCTTCTCATAGTAGAAACTTGACTAGAATTAGGCATACATGTTGATTTTGTTCAAGTGGTTGTACCTTCTAAGAGCATACACCTATCTAGCCTATTATAACATATACAAATATGTTTAACACACCCCCTAGGCCAGATGAGGGCCAGTGCCTGGAAGCAGGGCTGACGTTTAAAAAAGCCCCCTAAGCTGTCGAATGGAAAAATAAAATAAAAAAATTACCCTGAGGGCCTTGCGTTGAAATTTTGGCTACCCTGATTTCTCAGTGTTCTGGAACATGCAACCCTGAAACCTCCAGGGTTGGCTAGCCACAAACAGGGTTGCATTGCACATGCAAAAAATCATTTAAGCGAACGTTAGGATTGTATAGTTACTGTAGTAGTTTAGCAAAAGCACCACTACGCCAGTCTACAGATTCAGTCCTCTATCTAGTCTAGTCTATCTAGACTTCACAAGATTCCACGCCACTAGCTACCCTTGACTGAAATTCTGGGCCATCCATGTTCACTTCGTCCTCTGCCTCGTCATCGGACAGAAACGGGTTGTCTTCCACTTCAGGAGGAGCCTCTCCCGCCTCTACCCCCTCCTCTCCCTCATCCTCTGCCCAATCCCCCATGTAGTCGGGGACTGCCTCCTCCTCCACCCTCCCTTCTGCCCCCTCAATCGCCTTGGCCTTACGCTTCCTCTCCACTGAGGCAAACATAACAGACTTAGCAGGGCGCCTCAGCTTCTCGCGCCAACAATCAAGGGCCTTGTCCCAGTCAATCTCATGCTGCAGCAGGGAAATGACCATCAGCTCGCTGAGGCACGCATTGCACAACGCGCCCCGCACCCATGACTTGATGGCGTTCTGCCGCGAGAAGCCTCGTTCACACTCCACTATGTTAAGCGGCAGGACAGCGCACGCCTGCCACAAGTGCATCAGTCTGGGCCAGCGCCTGCCAAAATGGTTGGGGGAACAGAGTGCAAAGAACAAGACCAGTGCATTAGTGCAACTAGTCAACAAGCGATAAACAACAACTTCCAAGGGGAAGGTAAGAACCGGCCCGAAAACATGCAACAAACGTCCTTCGAATAACAGTCACTCACAAGGTTGACTCCGTCGAGCCGAGGTAGTTCGTCAGGCCTTGATGGAATCCCTCATCGGCATGGTGGCTCAACTCCTTTTGCGCAGCTTGCAAGGCAAAGCCTGGCAGCCTGTTGTCGAAAAGGGCACTGCAGCCATGTAGGTACTCCTTCAGCTTCTTCTCTCTGCTGCTTCATCCGGGGCCACTTCGACACGCGGAAGAGCTTCGTCGGGGCGAGATTGTTCAGGTCCAGCATCCTCGTCTTCAGGAAGCTTATCGTGTCCTTCGCGAACTGCGCGCAAAGCCGCTCGCAATCGTGGTACTTAATGCGGAAGGCATGCCCGTTGATCTGCTTCTTGTGCATGGTGTAGGTGTGCGTGATTGGGTTGCCGTCCTTGTCGATGCCCTGCACCTTTACGCGTTTGCTCCCTCCGTACCCGTAGACGGCCAAAAAAGCCGAAAGTCACGTGCCTTCGACCCCCCCACCGAACACCTCTCCGCACTCCAGGTAGCGGTGGCGGAGGTCCCCTGTCGCCTCGTTGATGTCCTTCGTCACTTCTGTGACATCGATCTGATGGAAGTGACAGACAAGGGATTGGAGTCAGAGGGTGATTCCAAACGTGGATGGATGGGACAAAAACTACAACATGCACAGTGGTAGAAGCTCACCTCCCTCTTCTGGAATTTGAGGTTGAGCTCATTCATCACTCCGAGCACGTCCGCCAGGAAAAAAAGACAGAACTGGAACTTGTAACAGATCACGACTTCATACAACTCATGCCTGTACTCATGAAACAAAATGATAGCGGCGCCAAGGACCTTACAGAGGAGCCGCACAGCCTCACCCCTTGAAAGCCATCGCACGGTGTGAATGCCTTGCACTTCAAGGTTGGTGTTGTGTATTGCCCGCTGCAGGTACTTGAAGCGTTGACTCCAGACACATGAACGTCCCAGAAGATCGGCCAGAGTCCGAATCACAAGGTCGACCATGTCGAAGTCTGAAGAAGCAATGGCGGCGTCCTTCACCGCCAGGGCTTCCCTGCATGGTGCATACACAGGAATTTTAGACAAGCAGTTGTAGGAAACCTAAGCGACTGAAATGACAAGCGGTTTAACCTGTGCGCGATGCAGTGCGAAGAGACGAGATGGGGGATGTGCTCGCGAAGTCGGGCGACGAGACCATTGTCTCGGCCGACCATGACAGAGGCGCCGTCGATGCTCATGCCGGTGATTCGGGACAGGTCGATGCCAGTTGCTCGCAAGTGCGCCAGAAGAACGGTGAGGAGAGACGCGGCGTCGCACTTTTCGACGGTCAAGGGAGCAAAAAACTCTGTGACAAAACGATGCACACGCAAGAAGGTTAGATAAACAATGAGATGTTTACCGCGAGTACGGTCAGTGCTCTCGTCGCGGCTGATGCCGAGGTAGGGTGAGGCGAGAATGTGTTGCATTTATCGGCGCTGCAGGTAGGATGCCAGGCTGTTGACGAGCTGACATAAGCCATACCTGTAGTAGCAGAATTAGCAACAGGGAAGTTGTTAGACCTATCAAATAAATGAAGGATATGGTGTACTTGGTATTAGTGAATTACCGTGTCAGGTAGACTCCGTAGGACTGCAGCGGAATGTCTGGGGTCTCCTGCTCGGCCATGAAGCGGAGTAGCCTTGGGTACATGCTGATGGGTGCATCACACTTGCACAGGAAGTCGACGCATCGTAGGAGCCTCATGATGCGCTTCCCCTCGATGTCAGTACGCGCGTAATTCTCTATGCGCCTCTGGGTGCTTGCGATGTCTTCGGCGATCTCCATCTGACGCTTGACTGCTACTTCGTGGGCTGACGTGTGTTCAAAGAAACCGCATCGCTTGCGTCTGCAGGTCACGTGCCCCGTCGCGGCTGTTGGAGTACGGTGTTGTCTCTTTGCCGAAAGCCTTGCACACACTGCACTTCAACGCAGGGTAACCATATTTCGTTTTTGTTAACAGAAGCCAAGGGAAAAATGGAAGCCAGTAGGTCTTATACTTGTGCTCAGCCATGAGATACTTTTGCTCGATGAATTCTTTCTTTGAGGGTTTCGGCGGCTCGGGTTCTGGAATAGCGGGGGCCTAAGGTTCAGGCGACGTGCGAGGCGGCGACGGTCGATGTAGCATCCTGCCGAGGACTATCGTGCTCTGGGTGTACTTCCCGTGGCGTGCCTTTTTCCCAGATGAAATCGTGGAAGCACACTCGACCGTATAACGCACGGTCATGGCTGTCTCGCAGTCTGGAACCCAAAGGCCCCGGCTAGATGAAGCAACAGCGGGCGGAGGTACATAGGGAGCGGGAGTAGATACGGGTTGTGATGGTGTTGCGACTGCGGTGGGAGACCGCAAGATATCTAGAGCGGATCTACGGACCTCCACGGGGGGGTCCCTACTTGGTCTAGAACCATCATCGGTGGCGGGAGACTCACAAGACTCTCCTACATCCGCCATGGCTAGTAGCGGCGGATATGATCGAAACGAGAACTAGGCGCGACAAAACTAGACGAGAAAGAAGAATGGAGCATCTCGCATTTGAGATGTGAAGAAGAGGTGGAAACTGGGTTGGAGGAGATGCTGGTGAAGAAGATGGGAAGGGGACCAAGAAACCCCAGATTTCGCTCGGGGTGGACGGTGCATGACCCATCCAGGATCCCGCATCGCCATGGCGATACCGTCAACGGCGGGACGCACCCGCGCTAGCATCGTATGCATAGAGATGATTGGCTCTGTGATGTCATACAGAGGCTGAAATTCCAGCGCTCAGCATATTCTGTCCTCGTCTGCTGCGTGCTGAATTACGAATGCCAGGCTAGGGCATGACGGAGTGCACCATCCCACA